GACCGGAAACACCGGCATTACGCGGAAGCCTGGCAGATTTGTAAAGCAAAGCATAAAGGCCTTGCAATAAACTTTCGAGAATCGGCAGCATGGTCCTCTAGCTTAATATAAACCTTAATAATTGTGGCAAGTAGTTACTATGTATCTTAAGCTATGTATTTATGAGTGATGGTAACTAATTGTATTTAGATATTTATGTAATCTTTAGGATTTTTATACTTCCGTTACTAAGTTCACAATGACGTTATGAATTGCAATGGATTATAGGCTAGTTGAAAAATATTCGAAAAACTTGTTCGATTTACATTTTGTTATTTTTCTTGAGAAATGTCTTTTAACAAGACCGAAAACTTCGGCTGCAAGATAAGGTGTATTAGTAAGTTTTTTGATATTATAGTATGCAGTCTCGAACGATTTGAAAATAATTATAGTTGTGTAGAATGTATACTCGGCCTGTAATCTACCCGCAGCTCTCCTACTGAGCAAAAGTGATTCTAGACAGAAAATTCTCTCTATAATCTCTAATTTCATCAGTATAATAAGTTCTATTACTGTAATAGACTAAAGTCACAAGAGACTAGTATTTTAAATTTTAGAAAAATAAATAAATTTTATTCATTTAAATTATGATTATCCAAAATATCCAGTTATTCTGATGTTATAGTTCAATTTTGCTTGTGGATAAATTTTTGATTTTGTATTCCTAAACTCTATCTAAATTCTTTCTATGTTGTTTTGATTTAAAGGCGGCAAAGTGCTGCTGTAATCATTGCTAAAGTTAACAACGGATGGAAAGGATCGTTGTTGTTAGACGATTCTCTTTCCTCTTCCTGTTCTTCGATCTTTCTTTTCTTGCATTCCGGTTGGCAATTTGCTTCGTCTTTAGCACCTCTCTTTCTGTTAATCGTTTCAATATTTGTCTCAGTTCTTTCTTCCAAATTATAAGGGAAAGTTTGACAGGTGCAATGACATCTACAAACATTTTCAGATCTTACGAACGAATTTAGAAGCGACTTTTCTCTTTTATATCTTTCCCATTCTGTTTTTGATCTTTCTATGTACGGCTTCTTAGCATCGAATTCCAGTTGTTTCCATCTTCTTCCCAATATCTTTGCCGCTTCTGTCACTCGCCTTACTCCCGCAGCTCTAAGTTCTGGAAGATTGTGGACGTAATAAAAAAGGAAAGAGGACATCGGTCTTTTGAGATGGATTCTTCCTCCTCTTTCTCTCTGCATCCTCGGTGACATCCTTATTGGCACACGGGAGCGAGTTCCGAGTTCGTT